GGCTTTGTTCTGATGTATCTGAGAGCCTCATTCTGATGTATCTGAGAGCCTCATTCTGGTGTATCTGAGAGCCTCATTCTGGTATACATTATTTAGTGCACAATATCTTCTTCCACATGTCTATACTAAATATATAAATTTTTAGACAAGCCCAGCTCCCTGTTTTTCCAAAAATTTGCCCAATCCACATAAGAAATGAGTCACTCCCAGAAAGAGTGTCATTCGTTCTAACTTTTTATATGGCTCTAAAATCCATTTAAAGGTGTATTGCATCATATGGCTTCCGTTATATGGTGTTTGACATGATTATTGTGTTCGTTTATGCAGTTTCATGTGGGTGCGGTATGCTCTGTACTTAAGAAATTTTGAAATGATCGAAAACTTCAACATTTAATTTCTAAAAAATGGGGATAATATTTCAAAAATGGTAAACGGTAAACTAATGTGAAAATGATCGACTAACAAAAGGTAAGATTTGGTTAATAAGTGAGCAAAGGACTGAGGAGGAACTATGAATGTACATGTATCTATGAACCTTTGGAAATCTCCTCCTCTGATCCCTGCATCATGGATCTATACAAAATCTCACTTGTACATGTACATACTTCCTGTTTGCCTAATATTATTATATTCATGTAGCATTTATTTCAACACAACTTGACTCAGAATAAGCTAATACACAAATCAATGAAGATAGTATTTGAAATACTGGTAGCCAATATAAAAAGTTTTCGAATTATACTCAAATCACACAATGAATCATGATCATGTTTGCCATATAAATGTACATATCGAAGGTTTTCGAAGGTGCATTATAAATTGATTTTCTAATGAACAGTAAACATCTTTCATGTATACACAACAATGACGTTTTGAAGAGCTCGTAAATAAACGTCAAGCCCAATTGGCATTTAACTAAATCAGGCTTTAGATGACTTTGTGTTTGAGTTTGACTAAATTGGAATGAATGGGATTTATTCAAATGCATCAAAATTGTTCTCATTTCCAAGTGTTCTAATTAGACAAGTGTTCTCATTAGACAAGTGTTCTCATTAGACAAGTGTTCTCATAAGACAAGTGTTCTCATTAGACAAGTGTTCTCATTAGACAAGTGTTCTAATTAGACTAGTGTTCTCATTAGACAAGTGTTCTAATTAGACAAGTGTTCTCATTAGACAAGTGTACTAATTAGACAAGTGTTCTCATTAGACAAGTGTTCTCATTAGACAAGTGTTCTCATTAGACAAGTGTTCTCATTAGACAAGTGTTCTCATTAGACAAGTGTTCTCATTAGACAAGTGTACTAATTAGACAAGTGTTCTCATTAGACAAGTGTTCTCATTAGACAAGTGTTCTAATTAGACAAGTGTTCTCATTAGACAAGTGTTCTCATTAGACAAGTGTTCTAATTTGACAAGTGTTCTCATTAGACAAGTGTTCTAATTAGACAAGTGTTCTAATTAGACAAGTGTTCTCATAAGACAAGTGTTTTCATAAGACAAGTGTTCTCATTAGACAAGTGTTCTCATTAGACAAGTGTTCTAATTAGACAAGTGTTCTCATTAGACAAGTGTTCTAATTAGACAAGTGTTCTCATTAGACAAGTGTTCTAATTAGACAAGTGTTCTAATTAGACAAGTGTTCTCATTAGACAAGTGCTCTCATTAGACAAGTGTTCTTATTAGACAAGTGTTCTATTAGGCAAGTGTTCTCATTAGACAAGTGTTCTCATTAGACAAGTGTTCTAATTTGACAAGTGTTCTCATTAGACAAGTGTTCTAATTAGACAAGTGTTCTAATTAGACTAGTGTTCTCATTAGACAAGTGTTTTCATAAGACAAGTGTTCTCATTAGACAAGTGTTCTAATTAGATAAGTGTACTAATTAGACAAGTGTTCTCATTAGACAAGTGTTCTCATTAGACAAGTGTTCTCATTAGACAAGTGTTCTCATTAGACAAGTGTACTAATTAGACAAGTGTTCTCATTAGACAAGTGTTCTCATTAGACAAATGTTCTAATTAGACAAGTGTTCTAATTAGACAAGTGTTCTAATTAGACAAGTGTTCTCATAAGACAAGTGTTCTCATAAGACAAGTGTTCTCATTAGACAAGTGTTCACCTAGGCAGGTCTTATGGTCATATCTGAATTTTTTTGCCAATACTTTCTTCTAATTCTGATTTAAAATATACCAGTTTTAATTTACATTTGTATCTTAGTCCAATGGCTTTCTAGAGTTATCCATCAAATCATAAATGTGAAGAATTTCAAAAGGTTATCCGCAGGGAGGGTCTGGATATGGTTTTTTCATCAAGTTCATTTGCATATTAAATTAAATGTAACATTTCATCAATTGTGGAGGGCCTAGGCTATCAGCATTATTATCCCCCAGGAGAAGGATATGGATCATAAGGGATGATATGATCTCTGACCAACAGAGGATAAAACTCCATCCTGAACATTGAAATACTATAAGTTATTGAATGATTTGAAGTGCAATACAGGCTATATTCTGCTCGAGAAATTCCGTATTGGAACGAGACGAAGTCGAGTGCCAATACAGAATATCGAGACAGAATATATCCTGTATTGCATTTCAAATCATTCAATAACGTTTTTATCGTGTGATCCTCTGTATTGCTACTGAGATTGTTCCCTCCGTACCAATATTTTCTGTATTGCGACGGAGGTGATCAATGGGGACAATCTCAGTAGCAATACAGATTGGTACAGCACAAGAACTGACCAATCAGAAAGCTTCATTTTACAGATCATACGATAAATACAGAATATCACATCATTTTGAGTGATATCATTTTTATCGCTGAGTTGATATCAAATATCAACACGAGTGAGCGAAGCGAATGAGTGTTGATATTTGATATCTACGAGGCGATAAAATGATATCACGAGAAATTATGTGATATTGGGTTTATCCCATGATTTCAATCACCTTGTGATGTTCTGATCCAATTTCCAGGACATTGGCACTGGCAGACAATATAAACTAGAAATTCGCCAATTCTTCGTCAGACGAATTTGCACCGGCCACTGCGCAGTAATATGCACTACTTTCTGTACATGATATAGTTCGTCATAAATACCATTTTTTAATCGTTATTAAGCAGCCTTCTAATCAAATTATATACACAATCGTAATTCAATACACCAATGAAACTTAAAGAGAATAAATTAACGGACCTATTTTCTCAAAAGAGAATAAATTATCTGACCTAATTTCCAACAATATTGTGGCGCGAAATAAAAATGTGATATCACACGGATATGCGTGAGATAAACGATATCACACGCATATGAGTTTGATAAACGATTTTCTGGAAAATATCACACGGATTTCTATAATATCAGAAATATCAATAGCTGTTATTTTACAGATAACACATTAATCGTGGGATAAACCTTAATACAAACACGACCACAATACAATGACACTTTTTATCCCATGTTATAAGTATAATTGAATTCGCAGCAGCTTAATTGAGTTCCACTGCAGGTAAAAAAAAGAGCTGCAGATTTTTTTCATAAAATGTTCTGGAAAGGTTAGCCCTTGAAGGATGCCTGTTAGATTCCATACTTACCAGTATGTTTATACTACACTTATATATAAAATATTTATATTGAAATTTACAAGTAGCTAATCATAATACTGAGAAAATTAAAAAATGTGTTAAAATTAAGATTGATGAGCCAATTAATAACAACACTGTGAAAAGACATGAATCTTGTGAAAAAAATTTGGTGGAGCAGAATAACAGAATTTGAAAAAAAATTAAAAAGGCACAATCATTTTTTTAATGTAACAGAGGAGAACTGATTACTGGAACTACTTTTTATAACATAATTAATTAAAACTAAAAATGCCAAGAATGTCAAAACATTGCAACTAAACATTCCAAATTTTTAATTTTCCTGGAATTCATAATTTAATCAATGAATTAATAATTGATGATTGCAAATACGTCATTGGGACCTCTACAATTTATCAAATGAAATATAAATATTCAATATCCCTGATAAAACGCTAAGATCAACATAATAAACAACCATCTGTGACAGATCATTCATAATAGTAATAATTATCTAATTAATTGAAATAAAAGAAAAATTAACGATGCTTCAAAATAGAATAATCTTAAAAATAATTACAGACGATTGATATAAAGGAATTCTAATCACACAACATATTGACATTATATGATGACCATCCTTGTACAGAAGAGGTAAATTCCAATTTACGTCATCAAATGCCTTCATGTTTGATAATGATAACATTAAAGGCAGATGAGTACTCTGATTTCCCCTTCACGCTGGGTCAGAAGATTCAAAAGAGAGGCTTACACATGTATATTCGTGCCTCAAATTTGAAGATCAGATTCACCAATTATTCATTCCGACTACTTTAATCAAAACATGGAAGAACCCCTTAACTTGAATACTTTACTAATTTGAATTCGTTTATAATTTCTCCTCCTATTTGATGTAATACTAAATTCACCTCATTCCCTAGTCTCCATGTTGTATAGCCTGAAACTAATTCTAAGTTCATGTTTATTTACCTATACAGTTTTCATTGTACATCATTTCAATTAATAAAGCCTGTAAAGTGGAACACCTTTAGAAGTGGAGCACTTTGTAAATGGAACACCTCTGTAAGTGGAACACTTTTCAGAGTCCAAAGACCAAATGACTTAATGTTCAATGAACCTCTATGAGATATGTTAGGCCAATGCATTATCTCCAGGAAAAGCAAGCATAGAGATGATAACATAATTTCAACTTTGAGACAGGGGAGATGCAAACAACCAACCTACATGTTTTTCCTGAAATGTTGTTCTGATTTTCAACCCCTTCCACCACTGCTTTTTCAATTTTTATTATCAGTAAATCCACAGAATATAGCCAAAATCCAACATATGACTGTCCGAAATCTGTTGCGATACTTTCCCTCCTCGTTTAAACAAAATTTAAACTTGACTTACCAATGTTGTTAGTGCATCATCTTTTAAACTTTCTTGGAAGGCGACATATTTCTGTTGCACTGGTCGGAGAAAGCTAGCACTTTCATGTAAGTATTGGCAAAACTGAAATTAGCCAAAAATAAATATTCTTAACATACTGTACAATGCATTTCTATATTGATCATTAAAATATACAAAAAATCAAAAATTTGAGAGCAGTAATATGGAAACAGGTTTCACTCATTCATTTTTCTATATCACTGTTCCACAACTAGTTACTTTGACAGAACTTCAATGTAACAAAATGGATGAACTTAATGGATACGAGTTTTTTGTTTTCTCGATTTAAACTTATGTACGTATAAGTCATCTTGCGGATTATCATTTAGTACAAAGTTAGACAACATAGTCTAGCTTTAAGAAATGCTCTAGGTTTGGAATTTGATTTTTAAATAAAGCTGTAATTCATGCATTTAGACCATCGCTTTTGTTACATTGACGTTAGTTGTCAAAGTAAAATACATTGGTTATATAACAGACTTTCGTCAATGTAACAAAAAAGGGGCTAGATAGAGATACTATATGAATTTTAACTTCAGTTACAAAACAAATTCCAAATCGAAGAAACTTATTAAAACTAGACTATATTTTCTAGCTTAATGCCGAAATTATAGTCTGCAACTTGACTTATAAGAAGGTTTAAATCGAGAAAAGAAAAAACTCGTAACCAGGAAGTTCATCCATTTTGTTACATTGACGTTTCGTCAAAGTAACTATAGGTAGTGAGGTAGCACCGAAAAATGTACCCGCTTCTGAACAAATTGAAATTACTTGTTTCTTATGTATTTTTATGTGATACTTCAGAAAAAGGATGAGTCTGGGAATGAGTCTGGGTATCGACTTAGAAAATATTGAAAATTGTAATGTCTGAAAAACCAACTCAATCGCACATATTATTAAACTTCAATATCTTATCCTTCTTCTGAGAGTACAAAAATATCAATTTGTATCACAATAAATGAAGAATATTGGCATCAAAGACAGTGCATATCACTTTGTCAGAATTGAAAAAAAATCAATGGCAAATATTAAATGAATTATTTATGCAAAAGGTTTGAAACATATCCTCCAAAACATTGCTTACTTTCTTTGTATAGACATTGAATGGCATTTCTGGATAAGTGAATTGGTGTTTATCTGGGTAATCAAGGGATTATAGTCACTCAAAGTTACTGAGCATCCAGTTTTGAGACTTCAATTGTGTTGTTGAAGTTACACATATTTCAGTCAAATTCATGCTGAGCACAACATTCCGGTTTCAATTTTATAATCTCTATACATGACCCTGGTGATGAAGAGTCAGAATCAGTCAAAAAACCTAAACCGGAAAACTGTGCTCATTGTGAAAACTAAAAGTGAAGCAACTTTTTTTCTGATATTTCTTACATCAAATGGCAGCCATCTTGTTTTTCCCCCTTCAAATTAAACTGGCGGGAAATTCAAAAATTTGAAAAAAATTTTAATCCTTAAATATATTTCAAAAATATGATTTTCTTTTAAATACTTCATGGGTCTTAAGTTATTTCTTCTTTGTAAGTCATACATGTTGCCATTGATGTTTTTTTTCTATGATAATGACTATTTGTTTTTGTTAAGATACTTATTCTGACTCTCAGCAGGGGGTTAATTATGCATCAAAACTCGTGAAAAAGTACATATACTTATCAAATATAACTAGGACAGTAATAAAAAACATATTTAACATACATTTGACTGAGGGACCAAAAGGGCATATACCCGGACACATCCTTTTGTCTGACGCGCCATATCCGGGGCGAAAGTTGTCAAAATTGGGTTTTTGACCCTAAAAAGGAAAATTACAGGGGGTACATTAACATCATTGAATAATTCATTCAGTTAGTCTTCAATCATCATAATGATTTTACTGAGAGTTGATGAGATCATTTTAAGGTAGTATGCAAACTTTCAATGGTCTGTCACTCGTGGTTGCCATGGAAACCACAATTTTTGCTGAGAAAATCCTTAATTTTGGTAAAACCTGTACCTGTACATAATATAGAATGTGGATTATTTTTCAAATCAACAGATATCAGAACATTTTAGCACTCTAAAAATCACCAGGGCTCTCCAAACATTTGTTTAAAGAGAAAGAATATTGCAATTTATATGACTGGTAAGTGTCAAAGACCATACAATTACATAAGTGGTCAAAAGTGGGCGTCGCCCTCATAATAGTAGTTGATTGCCATTCTCTATAAATACAGAGTTTTACTTGACTTTTGAGATACATTTATATTGAATTTCTTTGGTTATACTTAATATCAAGCATTTTTACATCTAAGTGTTATAGTTATTGCATGGGGATACAGGGGGGAGGGGGGGGGGGTAGTAACAGAATTGGGAGGGGGCAGAGCTTATCAGCCTTAAGTGTAAATCTCATCTACATGGTTCTAGATTTCATAGGGTACAGCTTCTGGGTCTTATTATATTCATCTCAATATATAAGATATAAGAATTTACATGGTTGGTAAGTGTCAAAGACCATAGAATTACACATGTGATCAAAAGTGGACATCTCCCTAATCATAGTATATGGTTTATTCTCTATAAATACAGAGTTTAACTTGACTTTTGAAGTACATTTACTTAAAAACATCTTTGATTTATACTTAATGTCAAGCATTTCTGGTAAGTTATATATGTACATCTAATTGTAATAGTTATTGTCTGGGGGTGGAGGAGGGGGGGAGAGTAACAGAATTGGAAATGGGCAGAGCTAATAAGCCTTAAATGTAAATCTCATTTATTTAGTTCTGGATTTCAAGGGGTGCATCTTCTGGGTCTTCTTCACTTCTGGGTCTTCTTCATCTCAATATATGGGATATTCCAATTTACATGATTGGTAAGTGTCAAAGACCATACAATTACATAAGTGATCAAAAGTGGGTGTTGCTCTAACAATAGTAGATAATTCATTCTCTATGAATATGGAGTTTAACTTGACTTTAAGATTTATTTTTTAAATTAAAACTTCTTTGATTACATTTAGTATTGTAATATTTATTCCCTGTGGGGGGGGGGGCAAGGGGGGTAGTAGCAGAAATGGGAGGGGGCAGAGCCAATGGCCAGTCAGTCTTAAGTATTAATATCATAGTCTGATCATTTTCATTCACCTCCCGATGTTAATTTATTAATAATATCATGTGGGAGAATATACCACTACACTTGCAGATTTGAGAGTCATTCAGTTGAGTGTATCTATATGGCGCTCCACCTTTGCCTTTTAAAAAGGTGCTATTGCTATTGCCCCTTCTGCCTGGCACTTCATCTGTGAATGTGTGAAGTGCTAGGAAGGCTGCATATATGTCAGGGTCTATATTGGAGGAAATACCACTGACATCAGTCTTCATTTGTTTCCAACTCAAGTATCCAGCAGCACACTTTGCTGTATTTGCTTTTTGTTTTCATCATCATACAAGAACTAATTCCAATCTTTAGGGACTCGTGTTTTTCTACCTTAAATAGGGCAAGGTGTCCCTCCCCTCTTTCAGGTTCCTTTATAGAATTTTTGGTGTAATTATCACATACAAAAACGAATCAATCTGCAATTGTAGAATCTTGAAACAGTCTCCGCCAGATCCAGAAACAAAACTACCTTTCAAGTTGAATTATGGTTTGGGATAGTTGGGGTTTGTTTTCCTAATGACTTGTATACATTTAGAAGTTTTCTTTTTCTTGCTGGGTTCTATTACAAATTTTGGTCCTTTCCCTTTGGCACTTGTGGGTACATGTTCATGCATAGGGATGCGTTACTCTGTTCTTGCAAGAAGTCCAGTCAGTGTTCCTAGAGCCCAAGGCACAGGGCTCAATAAGAACTGCAGGAGACATTCTAGGCTAATTTTATGTTCTTAAGCAAGATCGAAGCTGTTCAAAGATGTTTCATTCAGAATGTATTTGTATAAGCTTGTTCTGAGTACTTTTTTACTGTCACTGTCACTGTTGCTGCTGTAGTTTGCTGCTATAGTTTTCAATTTCATATGTTTTATTAGATCATGAAATCTTTTTTTCAACTAATCTCAGATGGTATCTCTTCATGCAATTTCCCCTTTTGACTAAAACATCATTTGGCACAGATTTTCCTTATGATACACCGTAGAGATGACCTTCATCCTCAATGGTAAATGGATCAAGGAAGTCTTTGATTGCGGTTTTTGTCATCTTTATGTCTTCTTCTATACTTGCTATTTGTGCCTTTCCAAGGTCATTATGGGTGTCACACTCATCTCATCTCTAGATAATTTTCCTAAGTTGGTCTAATGAATGACTGTCTGATTGTTGTAACCATCTCATCCATATAAAGCACTTATTGTCTGTATGGCCCATATTGCAAATCCTCGTAGTGAACCACCAGATGGACTTGAATGGAAACTAAATGACTCCATATCTTTCCAGTGGGTATTGACTGATATTCTCATACAAGAGATTGGTGATATAGCAACACCAGGAGATGAATCAGAAAACCCCAGAAGATGTACCCTATGAAATCCAGAATTAAAAAGATGAGATTTATACTTAAAGGCAGATTAGATCTACACATTCTAATTCTGTTACTACTCACCCCTGCCCAAATGTAAAAACTATAATACTTACACAGATGTATTTACCAGAAATGCTTTACATAAATTATAATAACAGCAGTTCAGTATAACAATGAATGTATCTCAAAAGTCAAGTTCAATTTTGTATTTATACAAAGAACCAATCATCTACTATTGTTAGGGTGACACTCCTTTTGATCGTTTATAAATATGTAATTGTATGGTGTTTGACAAATCCTGTAAATTGTAATATCCCATATATTGAGATGAATATGAAGAAGACCCAGACGAGGTGCCCCATGAAATCCAGAACTATGCAGATGAGATTTATACTTAAGGCTGATTAACTCTGCCCATTCCCTATTCTGTTACTACTCTCCCCCATCCTCCCCCAGGTAAGAACTATTACAATTAGATGTGCATTACTAACCAGAAATGCTTGAAATTAAGTATAATCAAAGAAGTTGTAATGTAAATGTATCTCAAAAGTCAAGTTAGACTCTGTATTTATAGAGAATGAATATATGATAAGGGCGACGCCCACTTTTGATCACTTGAGTAATTCTATGGTCTTTATACTTATCAATCATGCAGAATTATGATATCCTATATATTAAGATGAATGTGAAGAAGACCCAGAAGATGAACCCTATGAAATCCAGAACTATGTAGATGAGATTTATACTTAAGGGTGATTAGCTTTGCCCTCTTCCAATTCTGTTACCCCCCCATCTACCCCCTCCCCAATGCAATAAGTATAACACTTACCATGTACATTATTTACCAAAAATGCTTCATATTAAGTATAACCAAAGAACATCATTATAAATGTATCTCAAAAGTCAAGTAAAACTCTGTATTTTTAGAGAATGGCAATCATCTACTATGATAAGGGCGACGCCCACTTTTGATCACTTATGTAATTGTATGGTCTTTGACACTCCCCAGTTATGTTAATTGCAATATCCTTTATATTTAAATAAATCTTTGAACTGCCCTTGTAATTTTGAAAATGCTAAAATGTTCTGATATCTGTTGATTTGAAAAATAATCCACATTCTATATTATGTACAGGTACAGGTTTTACCAAAATTAAGGATTTTTTCAGCAAAAATTGTGGTTTCCATGGCAACCACGAGTGACAGACCATTGAAACTTTGCATTCTACTTAAAAATGATCTCATCAACTCTCGATAAAATTATTATGATGATTGAAGACCAACTGAATGAATTATTCAATGATGATAATGTACCCCCTGTAATTTTCCTTTTTAGGGTCAAAAATCCAATTTTGACAACTTTCGCCCCGGATACGGCGCATCAGACAAAAAATTTCTGACGTATCACATAAGAATAAATAAGAAACAAGTAATTTCAATTTGTTCAGAAGCGGGTACATTTTTCGGTGCTACCTCACTAACTACTAGTTGTGGAACAGTATATATGACAGTTCAGCACTTTCACAAACTAGGTATTTCAACATGTAAATTTGAAACTACCTGCCTTTGTCACAGATGCTGAACACAAATTACCAAACACCATCCACAAAAAAGTTAGAGACTATAACAATATATGACCAATTCTAGTGATCTGGTGGTGACATAAAAACTGCATAAAGCAATCTCCAGAAAAACATCATCCCAACATTAACGGCAAGGACAAAGGGTACTGTTAGGACCCATTCTACCTTTAGTTTGCTTTAAAATACACTAAATACAATTGTGTCATCAACTTAATGGTCACTTCCACACGTACATGTAGCCCCTTCTCTTAGCTGTGATACTACAATGCGTAATTATTCCATGACCTTGACCTTGAGCTGGCATTGCCGTTAACAATTTAAATTGCAGCCAAAATGATTATACCTTTTTATTTACTGCACTTAAAGGTTCCTTAGAACTGTCATTGGGGTATATTTGTGACCGTTGCTCAGTATATGCGTGGAAGTTCATCATGGATTGTACAAATTCTTTAACCAAGGAGCCGGCCTGGGTGACGATTTCTCTTGTTTTTAATTGGTGCTTTCTATCATGGGTGGGAATATTTAATGCGTTAAAGTCACGATTTTCTGAAAAGATAAAAGAGAAATAAATTCAACTTACAAGTTATTTAATGCTATATATTCTGCATCCAACAGAATGCAAAGTACTATTTAATTTTCAAAAAATATCATTAATTTATAATACTTTATTTTTAAGTTTCAATAATAAAACAAAAAACATACAATAACCAAGCTCAAAGAAGATGCAATTTTGTGTGGAATCTAAACATAATTAATCACTAATCAGTTGTTCAATTTCACTTTTATCTACATCACATATGCATGGTTTGTCTTTTTTACATATTGTTTTAGCGTATTTTAGCGTGTTTTATTTATTTCAAACACAACACTTTAACTTACTAGTATCATTAAATGCTATTTTATCTTTAATTACTTTTGTAGCCTCATCCAACTTTGAAGTTAGTTCATTTTGTATTTTGTGCAACTCAGACTCCCTGAAAGTAAAAAAATGCAATCCTTCAATCAATGAAACAATAAAGGACACTGCTTATAAAGGCCTGTAGTTAGGGAGGGGGAGGGGGGTTCAGGGTGTACGAGTGAACCCCACCCTGGCTAAAAAGAATTTCAAAATCATACAGTTTTCCACCATTCTGTGCACTTTTTGAGTGGTTTTGGGCCAAAATGGTCAAATGTGACCTCCCTGGAATTTGTTGAATAGTGAACCCCATTGGCAAAATCAGGTTACAGGCCTGCCATGTATAATATAAGGGCATTATTCAATTTAACAAACCTTTTGGTAACCAGGAAACCAGGGTACATTGACTAGATTATGATGTCATACTTTTCAGGCAGCAATAATTGTGAACAAATTTGATCATTCTGATTTATCAGAGTCTCTCTTTATCTAAAGGGCTCTAAAGCTTGAGAGATTTAGTTGACAATAAGTTGATCCTATTTCTGCTCTGAAGTGGTAGGAATGGCATCAAAACCATGATTCACTGGATTGATCTTTTCATTTCATTCTTTTTAAATGATTATGTTATCAATAAAAAAATTGCAACCATCATTTACTACTTTCTAACGTCACTCGAAACCCGCCCCCATTCCCTCTGGATACGGCATACAGGCCTACATCTGAGTACAAATGTTCCAAGTACATGTAATGTGAATACAACAACAAATGCTGGCACTTACACATTCTTGTTTGTCTGTGATAAATGCGATTCACATTAATACTTGTATATTCCTCAGAGAAAAACATTCCAATCCATGATTTTGCTTGACCAAAATAATCAGAATTTTGACTTACGCTTGCTCAGCCCTTGTTTTGGCATCTTTGACATCTTTATCTTGCTTCTGAAGTTGAACCTATAGATATAAACAACAAATTATTTGATGTTATTCATTTTCTTTAATTAATTAAGAAGGCATTAAGATCAGTGTGTTCTTTCGGCCATTTTCTAATTTGATGAAATTTCATGACCATGTTATATCTTCAGATAACCATTTATAACTCATTCCACAAATGGGGTACATCTTTCCTGTTTGCATGAAAGGTGCATTATAGTGTACCTAGATTATTAATTGAGGGTTGATAATTCTTCAGAATGTTCGAATAAATAGAATATTCAATAGTCTACTTTTCAAAATTGCAAAAATTCCTAATGTACACACCTCAACATGACAAAATCTCAATAGAATTACCATCTCAAAAATAGATTTACCTCTTTATGAAATTGACATTTCATATAATGAAATTACTTTACTGTAACATACGGTAGTAATTACCACTTATAAAATTGCTGCCTCATGCAATCAAATTACCATTCAGAAGAAAGGATCACCAATTCATGAGTTATTCATAACCAATTCTCTTTTGGAAGTAATGGATGGTCCTGAAAAGGACCGTTTATTTAGTTTGTCCTTGATAGGACGTTTGACCCTGAAAAGGGCCGTTTGGTGTTTCTGGTTGTTGTGTCTTCTACTCATGCATATCAACGTCATCATCTTCATCGCTGATGATCTCATACTCCGAGTCATCATCATCAGTATTGGTGAAGATGGGCAATGTTTGAGCTTTGGCCTTGAGTTCCTCCACTTTGGCAGCCTGCATCATGGCGTACTCGTACATCATGCACTTCAGTCCCCTCATGGCGGATAAGTCCAGGCGGATCTTGTATCGGAAGGACTGTTTCCCTCTCTTGGCAGCACGATCATAACGAACTTGCAACTGGCGAACCTTGTTGTCAATCAATAGCAGTTGGTCACATGACTTGGTGAACTTTCTGTACTGGATTTCAATCTCGTTGAGGATGAAATCGTCATCAATGGGGACGCCATGTGTCTTCTCCAGTTCTGTGAAATTGTAGTATGTTGGATGCTCTTGAGTGGACTCCATTGTTGTATTGGGTTAAGCTGTTGTTAGACTGAGATGTTCGCTGTGTGATAGAATACTTGAATAATGATTTCTCTCTGAAACATCTTCGTATTTATAGCAATTATTCCATGACATCTGTCAGGATGTCCAGTGTCAACACTTGTCAATATTCAGTTGACATTTTCCTGTCAAAAAATAAATTCTGACATGACAGATATCAAAGATAAGATCAAATGTATGCCACCACTAATCACTTTTAATCTCTTTAATTGACATCCTAGAAATTTTAATTAATTGAACCATTTAACATTCATAAGCACCTAGCTGTTGTATATTGCTTAGACATTGCTTAATGTCAACAGTGTTGCATTATAGATATTCTTAACTTTGATTGCATTTTTTCAAAGTCTTTCAAAATCATGCATTTTTTTTGGATTCTAAGCATTTTCATGTGATTTTGGGCCAAATTTAGGCTGACTTTTTCTGATAGTGAACCCCCCTTGGCAAAAGCTGGCTTCGGGCCTGGACTTGGACTGCAAAGAGTTAATAAAGTTTGCATCTAAATAACTGTTTTTGCATAAAAGCTCAATTGGATTAGACCATGGAAAACATTCCAGGTTGGGTTGTTATTAAACTATTATATGCAGGCCCGTAGCCAGGATTTGCCAAAGGGGGTTCACTTTTTGAAAAATTCCAGGGGGGGTTCACTTGTGACAATTTTGGTCCAAAAATGGCCAAAATCACTTAAAAAGTGCTCAGAATGGTGAAAAACTGCATGATTTTGAACGATTTTTTGGTCATGGGGGTTTGGTCGAACCCATCGAACTCCCCCTGGCTACGGTCCTGATATGTTTAACTTTCTTTTTCAATGGCTTATGAAGTGATATATATAGGTCACTTCAGGCTCACTTCAAATTCCCTCCTTTCCTTGCCTTTAATAAAGCAAATATTAATTTCAGTTATTATTTCATGTTTGATAAAAAAAAAATTAATTTCACAGAATACAAAATGCTTGAAGTTGCTACAGTTATTCATTGCTCGAACCATGGGCTTTCAATTGTATTTTTATTGGAGTGTGTTCTTGAATAATTACTTTCAATGCAACACTCGAAGAGAACATTTTGATACCTCTTCCTTATTGGTCTTTTTTGTTTACTTTTATCGAATTGAAAGCCCATGCTCGAACATAGAATAAACTATTAAATATTTTTCTTTTAGGTATTCCCCATGGGCATGATATACAGTGCAGGCAATATTTATCAATTTAAGAGTTGAAATAGGTGTGGAAATATTTGTTTTCTTTGTCTATCTGAGACTATTATAATTTTTAATAAATCCCAAGAGACATAATCCACCATAACCTTTATTTACATTCTTACTTAGAGTAATAAATCAAAATTTCAATCAAAGTTAAAAAATACCTGTAATACAAGTCAGTAGACATTATTAGCATGTAAGTTTCTAAGTAAACACAACAGCTAGGTGCATATGAATGTTGAATGGTTCAATAAACTGGAATTTCTAATTCCTTCCAAGGTGTAAATTAGAGAGATTAAAGGTGATTAGTAGTGGCATACATTTGATTTTATCTTTAATTCCTGCCATTGCAGAATTTTATTTTTTGACAGGAAAATGTCAACTGAATATTGGCAAGTGTTGACACTGGACATCCTGACAGATGTCATGGAATAATTGCTATAAATACAAAGATGATTCTGAGAGAAATCATTATTCAAGTATTCTATCACACAGCGAACATCTCAGTCTAACAACAGCTTAACCCAACACAACAATGGAGACCACCCAAGAGCAACCAACATACTACAATTTCACAGAACTGGAGAAGACACATGGCATCCCCATTGATGACGGTTTCATCCTGAACGAGATTGAAATCAAGTACAGAAAGTTCACCAAGTCATGTGACCAACTGCTATTAATTGACAACAAGGTCCGCCAGTTGCAAGTTCGTTATGATCGTGCTGCCAAGAGAGGGAAACAGTCCTTCCGATACAAGATCCGCCTGGACTTGTCGGCCATGAGGGGACTGAAGTGCATGATGTACGAGTATGCTATGATGCAGGCTGCCAAAGTGGAGGAACTCAAGGCCAAAGCTCAAACATTGCCCATCTTCACCAATACTGATGATGATGACTCGGATTATGAGATCATCAGCGATGAAGATGATGACGTTGATATGCATGAGTAGAAGACACAACAACCAGAAACACCAAATGGCCCTTTTCAGGGCCAAACGTCCTGTCAAGGACAAACCAAATACACGGTCCTTTTCAGGACCACCCATTACTTCCAAAAGAGAATTGGTTATGAATATGAATTGGTAAACCTACATGTATTTTTCAAGGCGGTTATTTTATTGGACAATGCGATAATTGATAGAGAATATTATGTTGTAATGGTAATTCTCTGTTCTAATTTGGTAATTCCATTGTATGAGGCAGTAATCTTCCAAAATGGTAATTTTATTATTGACAATGCAATTGTACGAAACAAGAATTTTTAAGGCGACAATTGTCTGTTAATTTTATAATATGTGAGGGTAATTTCTTAATAAGTGGTAATTCAACTCATGCGATGGTAATTCTAATTCACCCCCAAATCACAACAAAGAAATTACAATAAAACAACATAGAAATTACAACATAACAACATAGAAATAACAACTTACCTCCAGTAAGGCCTTTTCATTCTGTAATTTCTCAATTTGGTTTTTGTTCTTTGAGACTGCATTGTTGAGTATTTGCTCATGTTGATTTTTCTCCCTTTCTAGTACGTCTAATCTGTCTTGCAGTTGGAATACTGTCTGACTGTGTTTCTGTTCAGCTTCATATACCTTCAAATAAAATCCTTTTACTTCAATGTATACAAAATTACATTTATATATTTTTTATTTCATTATTTGTAATTCTATTTTCATTTTGCTCAAAAATGGGCAAAAGCTCAGATGACTCATAAATAGACTTATCCCCGGTTCAGGCAAGACTAAATTTGCTTGTTTGCGTGAAGTACTTCAGGGTGTTTGACTGAGTGGTCCGCAACTCGTACAAAAAGGCTGTGGTGTGTACTTATATGTCTATGTATAAGTGCACATAAAAGAACACAGGGCTCCTTCAAGGAGGGGTTTCTGGGTCTATCTTCCATGTTAATTACGTAAATTACGACCGTATATATACGGGACATACCCAAGAGGTATTGCTCACCTTCATTGGTGGTAAACAAAATACAATACAATACTAGATGCAAGTAAAAACTGTTTAACTGTTTAATTTTAGTCTTCTTCTCTGGGGCAGATATTTTCTTTTATTGGACAGATTTTCAATTGTAAAATTATCAAAACTCAAAAAGATTTTCTTAAAACTGATCCAATAAATCTTGTGGAAATTGACGTTTAGGAGAACTTTTTCTGATACTTGGTCAGGGCATCTTTGTTCACTCGGCTCCCATCAGTCGCAGTGAAGACCGAGCATGCGAAGATGTGGTCAGGGGTTGAGCTAAGGTTCTGAGAGCACCTGGGTAAATTGGCATTATGAACCATTAGTTCAAGCCCCGATCTTGGTAACTGTAATTATACTTGTATTTAAATAAAGGAACCATAAAAACTTTTATTTGCTTACTTGCTTATGAAGTCTTGCATTTTCTTCAATTTTGTTCTGTAACTCTTCCCCTATGACATCACTATTGCTGTTATTGGTCACTGGTTCATGAGCGGGACTTGTGTTAACTTGCTGAAAAACAAAAACAACAATACCATTAAAGAAACTATGAATCAAGACGCAAATGATGAAGGCATGTCTGGTGAAAACTTTGAAATGGGATTATAAGTTTTTAAATCTGTAAGTTCAATGCATTCTAGAACTCAAATTCAGAATGAGATCTCGGGAGCAACCCAAAAATTGTTTAAGTTTTAGAATATTTTTGGCTCATATTTTTCTTTGTCATATCTATTCTGAAAATCTCAACAGTTTTTGCTCTATTCCAGGAAAACTAGATTTTTACATTCATGAGTCTATTTTGTATAATTGGATATCCAAATTTATCATTTTGGAAAACTGACACATTTTTGCAACTTAAATTCTAAATTCAAATTCGATTTTTTAAAGGGAGTGGATATTTGAAATGGTACAGAATACATTGGTAGGTCAATTGCAAATGTTGCTCACAATTTCATCATCACATTTATCACATTTTTTCACATTTTTCACATTTATCATCACATTTAATTTATGTGAATTGAACATCAGCATTTTTTACACTATCATATCAGTTTTGATGAGAACACTGTCTCAGGCTAGAATATCCTAAAGTTGTTCACAATAAGCATCATATGAAATTATGTGAACATTCAGAGGTTTAACTCTACAGAAGAACTTAACTAAAGCCTTAACTTTATCAGAACAACAAGCTAGTTTATACAATATCCTTAAAACTGTATGTAACATAATATGTAATGCAAGCTTGTCTTAAGTTCAGAGGGAATGGTGGTTATGGGGGGAGGAGAGGGTGGTGCACAGGGCTACAAGCATGGTTTTAAATTGCTTATACTGTAACAAGGGAGAAAATTTCATAAACAGGAGGGAGGGTGAAGGGTAACCATCCAAAGGGTAACCAAACTTCCCATCACCACAGGGGAGGTACATGGAGCCCATAATCCCACATTTATTGCAGGGGAGGTTCATAACAACCATAATCCCACTCACACTGACAACAGGGAACAATCCCGGCCCCACTCCAGTGACATGATGCGTCTGCAATAGCAACAACACAAAAGAAAAGCATGAAAATAAATGAGAAGACACGCTCACAAATAAAATACACAAACTTTGTTTCCATGTCTAGTCTAGGAACATATTTGAAAATATAAAATTTGCTCAAAATTAAAACGTAAGCAGAAACATGGATATAGCCAATTATAACATACCTATGATGATGTATAGTGCAAAGTGTACACAAGACAGCGGGCCAATATAAGTTTTGAAAAGCCCGCGCCCGCTAACTTTCTGATTGGTCAAGGCACTGACGTCATAACCAATCAATCGAAGATAAAACTGCTTGAGCAATTTTTCTAAACTCTTTTCAATCATTTTCAAACCATTTGTTTGTCAATTCTATAAGAAAACGGTACTCTCTGACCAGTCTACATCATCATAGGTATGTTATAAATCGTTTATGTCACTATCGTGGCACATATGCCCTCGGTTCTCAGAGATCAATGTCCCTCCCAAGGTCGGGCCATATATCACTGAGACCTCGGGCATATATGCCACGATAGTGACATAACCTCCAAATATAATACAGGACTACAGGATTACTATGACTCTCACTATGTTTCTCATGTAAATAAATTGAACATGATTATAATTACACAGAGAAGAACCTGAAAAGTGACAAGGGGGTCATAAATATAATTTCAAAAGCATTTTGAGCAAAAAATATCAAAGCATATATCCAACTTTTTAAGAATTTAGGTATTTCTTTAATGATACCACAAAATCTACTTGTCTTTCATGATACACACACGGTGACAGCGTACAAGACAAATGAATTTAGAATACATTTGCTTCATGTGGAATATCAAAGAGAATTGCTACTTCCCAAAGAAATACTGTAGTACCCAAAATAACGGATTGAAAGCTTTAACCAGAACTTAAAATGTTATGGTTTCTTACCCATCGACTAAAGTGTCCCTAAAATGAAGCGTGCATTTACAACTCATTCATTTTATTTTATCATTTTTCTGCCACCGATGTGTGACAACTCTACTCCGTAAGATTTCTAAACGCCAAGGTGTATCAATTTTATGTGAACAAACACTGTGAAATGTAGGGGGATATTCAAAAGTTCACAATGTATTTACACAAAGCAATTGAAAAACCACTAAGTTGAAAATTCATTTGCACCGTTAAAAATCCATTTCCACCATATGGGAATTTGGTATATATGTAAGAGGAATGGAAAACATAGTCAATTTTGAAATCCTCTGTGATTACAAATACACTTTAGGACAACCCCGTGTGTTCGCAAAAGCATAAAGATTAGCAATTCAAAGGCAATCTACAAATTACTAAAGTTTCAAAAAACAGTGAAAACTACTTCAAACGATGAAATACACATGCAAAAATTCCTTGAAAATAGTATGCATTTAACATAAGTATCGGGAAAACATTTAATAAAATCAATATTACGACAAAATATTTGTATAGTTTAACTAAAAATTGCATGCATACATTGTAAGAGTATATAACTGAAACTAAAATTTTAATAAAAACAAAATACAAAGACTCCATTGTACCTTGTTTTTCCGTTGCTTTAACTGTGCATCATTAAGCTCATCTTGCAGGATTGTGACGCGCGAAGATAATTGCTGGTTACGGAATGTTAAACTATCAATTTCCTGTTCAAACTTACGGATCGACTTTTCTTTCTCTTTTATGCCTTCCTAAAAATCAAAGGGAGACAATCAGTATTCCAAATTAATTCCGTCATAAATAAACACATAAGGCATAAGAGTTAGAATCAATTAGTCGATGTATATTCTCACAAATGTATTAGATTTCCCAGAAAAACACATTAATTTTATGGTTGCTAATAGTCTATAAATAGTGCTCTTGTAAAAATTATCTAGTAATCCATTTACAAAGTTTGAATATAGAACATGTTTTCTTTAAGTTACATATATTTGATCTGAGAATATTTCGAGAAGGTTAGAATGTTACTAATTTTGAGATTAGATTCACTCTTCATACCTTCAAGTGATCCTCCTTCTTTTGTCCATCAACAACAGCAGCCTTCAAAACTGGCAATTGTGACCGGATCTACAAAAACAAGTACACAACTATATAGCTATTAAAGAATTATTAAAGGATAACTTATGGTTGACATAATTCATACTGGATACGTGTTCATTTGCCTTCAACCATAGTACTCACGTATTCATTGAGATGTGGTCGGCTTAACATCACTAATGTTAAAAATGACTTTTTCTGATTAGATAAAAATAGATTTATGATGACATATTCCCAAACAAGATCTTAAGAGGAAATTGACATGGAAAAATGGTAAAAGGGGGTCTTTGACACGGCACATAAGTATTAAGAGGTATATCAGAGTGAAACCCCCAGGTGGAGAGCTTGGTTGACACAGCCTGGTTTCTTTGAATGACATTAGGTAACAAATCTGGCTGATCTCCTTTGTACCTGCTCCAGCAGGCGAAAATGTCAATTAATATAACCATTGTCATGGTCGTATTGTGCTTAAACATTACCACAGTCATGACAGGGCCTGTCACAGGGCCTGAGGCCTTGCAACCATTGTCACGGTCATATTAGGCTTTAACATTACTATGGTCATGACAGGCCTTGCAACAATTGTTACGGTCATCAGGCTTCAACATTACCACGGTCATATCAGGCCTTGCAATATAGTATAGCATTGTTACGGTCATATCAGGCTTTAACATAACCATGGTCATGACAGGCCATGCAATATAATATAGCATTGTCACTGTTATACCAGGCTATCACGATAACACTACAACGGTCATGGCAGGATCCTTGCGAAACTTAAAAACACTTAAGGTGCTATGAAAGTTAACAGGAAATGACAAAACAGGAAGTGACAAATTTTTTTGCATTTTTTAGACATTTTTTGAACAAAGATAACAGAGTTCCGTTTTGACCTCCAGTCAATTCAACTAGTTCCAAATACCATTTACAGGTCCAGGATCACAATGTTCATGGTCAGAATGACCCTAAATATGATAAAATAACCTTTTCAGCCCTATGAAAATGTGACTGAAAAATAGCTAAAAGTAGGAGGGTAGGAAAGGTAACTGAACAGAATCTTTTGAATTTTTCATAAAATGTGCCCAATATATTGCTCTAAATGATACAATCTTTGAAAATTTGATATCATTTATGGAAAAAGAAACAAAATGAAAAAACTCATTTGAAAAGCGATTTATTTTCCTTTTTATGACTGCCATTTTTGTTTATACTCTAGTAGCTCATGCTGGTTGAGTATGCACTTCTATGTCCAGAGATTTTCTCTTCAGAAATCATCTATGTGAAGGTCATTGATCAATTTTGGCTTGGTAACATATTTGCCACTGAAGGCGAAATAGGTCAAATGGCCACGCCCTTTTTTACGCAAATACTCCCCCCCCCCATTTTTGCATCTCCGGAACCGTTGGACATAGAATGTTGTGTGACCACTCAAAATGTCCGGAATGGCCACATTATAGGGGGTCAATAATACATTTGTATTTAAAAAAGTCAATGGTTCTCAAGATATTGGCCAAAAACTGATTTTAGAATGAAAACTCCACTATTTTCTCCTTTGATCCTGTCCCTAGCTCTGATTTCGTTACTCGGCTGGGAAAAAAGGTTTGTTGGTATCATTTTGTTCCAGACACTCTTCAGAATAAATTCATCTTGGGTGGAATAAAAATGTGTGGTAAACAAATTCGCTATGGGCAGTTAAAGAGGCGCCATCTATTCATTTTCAAACAGGGGGTAGGGGTATAAAATAATTTTTTAACACATTTTAATAGTAAAATGACATTGAAATACTAATAAAATCTTATCAAAAACATTATTTACAATCAGTATGAATTTTCTTGTGTGGATTAGGGTGAAAATAAGGGCATATCTTGAAATTCACTACAGGGGCGCCACCTATTTCTGTACGTGTACTGACTTATTTTAGATTCGTTAAGGTACGAAATGTACTGAAAAAATTCATTCTGAAGGACCTATACATGTTCATACCACATACTTAAAATTAGATCAATAGCTTATGTACCAGCGGAGAAAAAATTTAAGTCCAGAGATTTTCTCTTCAGAAATCATCTATGTGAAGGTCATTGATCAATTTTGGCTTGGTAACATATTTGCCACTGAAGGCGAAATAGGTCAAATGGCCACGCCCTTTTTTACGCGAATTCTCCCCCCCCCATTTTTGCATCTCCGGAACCGTTGGACATAGAAGGTTGTGTGACCACCCAAAATGTCCGGAATGGCCACATTATAGGGGGTCAATAATACATATGTATTTAAAAAAGTCAATGGTTCTCAAGATATTTGATTTTAGCATGTTACGCACAACAGTTTTCATCTATCCTGCATCATTTAAGACTGAATCCGCAGCTTCTATCTAGTCAGATCAGCGAAGGAAACAAACTTTTTTGGTTGTTGAGTTGAAAATTAAAATTTTTTAAATGTATAATCATATTCCTACATCTTATTAGTATAATATTATGACAAAGCAAGAGTACATACACCATTTTGAGTTTATTTGAGATACATATGCTCCATATTTTGGAAGTTATTTTTATTTTTTTTTTTATTAATTTATTGCAATCACTTTTAAATCAGTGGCACATAGTTTAACTAGTGCAGCAGTTAAAACATACAATACATGTGTGCAAGTACAATTCTAAAGCAGAGCTAAAAACATTTGCGCAATAAGACATAAAAACAAAACTAAAACATTTGCACTACATTAACTTGTTGGTGCTACATATATGTTTTTGATAAAATACTTTGAGCATGCATCAAAAATATAACCTTGTTCTTGACCCAAGATAGCATAGGCCGCATCCCCAAGCACCCATTCTAAACCATTATTGGGAATGCATGTCTTAAAATAATTATAAATGTGTGGAAGTCTATTCTCAATGCTATTATAAAATATAAACCTTTCCTCTTTAAACTTTGGGCAGGTAAAAAATCGATGTTCAGGAGTTTCTTTACAGCTCATATTACAAAAAGAACACGTTCCATCACTTATACCCCATCTCTCAAGATCAATGGCGAGACCAAAGCATCCTGATCTTGCCTTAAATTTAAGTTTTTGAGCATAGAAGTCAAAGTCAGTTTTAAGGTATTTTTCCATAAGTGTGTTTCTTTTAATATTACTATATACTGTAAGTGACTTTTTCTGGTTTATCGAGTCAAAAAATGTATTGCGTAACAAATCATTAGATATTTCTAAATATGACGAGTACCAATCTGTGTCCTCTCTGTATATTACATCGTCTAAACCATGGTTGGTCAAAATATCTTTAATGCTAGAAAAATAAGACCAGGTGGCTGTATTTCCCCTTTTAAAATCCTCAAACATATAATTGAAAATATTCTTATGGAGCCCTGCTTTAAGAGAGCTCTTTAAGTAGATAAAATAGTCAATTTTTCTTTTTTCTATGACATTACATATAGGCCTCCATCCCAAGTCACCGAACAGGGCCTCCTTAGCAGGATTACACTTGAGTTGTAATAGCGATTTTCCTATCTTATATTGAAAGGTAGCTAGTGTTTTGCAATTTGATTTGTTCAATACGAAGGTACTACAACCATGCAAAATTGCAGGTACAAACATTGAATTATATATAGTATCACCAAAGCTTATGCGCTTTGCATTACAGTGTTTACTCAGAGTTGAACACAACATGCCTTGCATGCGTTTAGCTTTTGGCTTAAGGAAGGCATCTATGTGATAGGTGTCCTTTAATGTCCTATCAAAGTAGACCCCCAGATATTTATAGTTTTGAACTTCAGTTAGTTGAAGATCACCAAGATGCCAAATTTTTTCTTTATTGATGCGCTTACCTATCACCATTACTTTTGACTTTTTTGGGCTATATTTAACGCCCCATTTTAGTGAAAATTTATTTGCAATTTGCAACATTTTGTTCAATTCCCCTTCAGATTCGGCCAAAAGGACGATATCATCTGCAAAAAGCAGAGCAGGGACATTTTCGTTATTAAAAGGTATTCCTGTGTTTTCTGAATGTAGCATCTCAATTAATTCTGTCATTATGAAGGAAAAAAGCATAGGGGATAAGCAGCAGCCCTGTTTCAGGCCTGTGGGAGCACTATACCAGTCACTCTCAGGGTTGTTACCTGTGATTGGAGTGTCATTTTCAAAATTCAGATTTTTCATAAGTTCATTATCAAAATTATCACCATTTGACTTACCAAATAAGACCTTATTTTTGACATCTTTATAGGATTCACGGAGCAGTCTCCAAGTTTTACCCTGGATACCTTTTTCCCAGAGTTTCATGAAAAGAAGATCTCTATCGATAACATCAAAAGCTTTAGTCATATCAAGAAAAGCCAAAAAGGTCTTTTTGCGTTTATTTTTACGAATACTACAGAGACCTTTTAGGGCAAATATGTGATTCTCTAAACGTAGATTACTGCGAAACGCACCCTGGAGATCACCAAATAAGTTCTTTTCTTCACAGAAAAACATTATTTTGCGCTCAAGAAGGGCAGTAAACAACTTATAAACATTCGAGTTTATAGTAATTCCGCGATAGTTATTCAGGTCCTCCGTATCGCCATTCTTATGCAATGGTTTCAAGAGCCCATATTTCCATTCATCTGGCATAGTTTCAAGCAACCTCACTTTTGTAAAAATGTCATTGAGCGTATGAATCAACAACATTCCTCCATTTTTCAGAAATTCATTAGGGATTTGGTCTGTACCACAGGCCTTACCATTACTTAAGGTTTTAATTGAGTTTTGAATATCATCCTGGTCAAATATAAAGTCGGTCATTGCATCATTAGAGAAAACAGTTTCCTTTTCCAGTTTCTCAATGATGTGTTCATTAGAATTTTCTTTAAAAAGGGGGTTTCTATTTTTCAAACCGACAGAGCCCCAGTAGTCTCTTAGGGCCTTTGACACTAATTTTGGGTCAGTTATAATATTACTATTATCCTCTGGATCCTTTATTTGAATGGGGTAGTCACATTTGGCATTGAACATCTTAAGTGTTTTCCAAAACGACTTCGAGCTTTTTGACTTT